GTATCTTCCTGCCAGGCTGCTTACTGCCTTCAGGACACCGAAAGTCTGACATCCCAGGCGCAAAAGAGCAGACTTGGCAGCTACCCAGCAGATTTTTATAAAAGCTCAGTTGGTGGCCTGAGATTCTGGCTGTCAGAGTTGTATTATGTAATAAATCGGTTTTCAGGAGAAGTTCATAATCCAATTTCGACTGTAGCTTTAAAAAAGACAGTAATCACATATAGGCACACATTTTTTAAATAAGAGTTTGAGAGAAGTAAAACTCCTTGAATCACTGTTTTCAGAGTAGTTTCCTTAACCCAGGAAACATGTCTGGAGGAACTTTGCTTGACTTGTTTTCATTTTAGAATCAATTTTAGAATGTATGTCATCTTTCTTAGGATGTTTCCTGCCTTCTTATTGTATTTCTGGGTGTGAATTATTTGACCAGCTTTTCTCTGTTTTAGATAAAACATAAAAGTTTTTAGCATTGAGTTGATCTGAGAGGACCCCGAGGAAGGAAATGATCATACCCCAGGCTGAAAAAGTACGCCTTTCAGCCTTTCTCTTTGCAGTGCTTCTCATGCCCACTTTTGTTTAGTGACAGATAAATTCCTCTCTTCATCTGTTTTTATTGTTTCATTCTTTCATTGTTTTCAAATTATTTTAGTTGGAACAGGCTGGTGTTGTCTTGTGTAGAATGATTTAGCTACAGGCGTCAGACAATCAAGAGGTTTCTGATTGCTTTACTCAAGGAGAAGAAAATGGCCATCATGTCTTTCCAGTGTTGTCCTTCCCATTCACTTTTGTTGCACCACCACCTCCAGAGCAAGTCTTACTAGGTTCATGGACAGCTGAGCAGAGAAGTCACAATCACTAAGTGTAGGTAAATGTTGAGGGCTGCCTGGCTACCAGTGAGTAATCAGTACACCTTGCTGTCAGTTCAGACAGTACCACTTTCCATAATCTTTCCCTGAGTCTCCAAGGAGGTACCTGCTCTGCAAGCTGAAGTCATCATATGGGTAGCCCCTTTTATTGAGGAGTTAGCTGTCATTGGAAAGCAGCAGCAGGAACAACCACCAAACCATTATCCAGGGCTTTTGTTTTGTTTTGATTGAGTGATTTTTTTTTTTTTTTTCTTTTTTACCATGGTCAGAGAAAACCTTGGTTTGTATTCTTGTATACCCATATTTTCATCTTAGAAAGTTTTTTTGTTTGGAGTGTTAGTAAGTTTTTGTTCTCGTTTTTTTAAAGACAGGGTGTTTCTGTGTAATAGCCCTAATTCTCCTGGATCTCTGTAGTCCAGGCTGGCTTCCAACTCGAAGAGATCTGCCTCCTGAGTGCTGGGATTAAAAGGTGTGCCCCACCACTGTCAGCAGACAAATGTGCCTCCCTCCCTCCCTCCCTCCCTCCCTCCCTCCCTCCCTCCCTCCCTCCCTCCCTCCCTCCCTCCCTCTCCTTCCCCCCTTTCTCTTTTCCTTTTTTTCCCCCTTTTCTTTGTCAATGTGGGGAGACTGGTACAAATAATTATGTGGTTCCTCAAAAGATAAATGTGATACTTCTTGGAACTCTTCCTTTGTTTTGTGATAAAATATGCTTCAATTGCACCTCCTTCCATGGAGGATTTAACTGCAGGCACCAGGAGATCCTACAGTGTTACTGTGCTGTAGGTTAGTACGCTCTTAGTCCTGCCCTGGCATGGAATTCACATTCTGAAGTGTATATTTCATCCTTGGTGTCAAATTTTAAAGGCAACTCATGGCATATTAGGTAACTAAAAAGAAGGTATGAGTGAGACAAAGAGTGATTAGAAGGATTTGTGAGTTTTTGTGCTCCTCTCTAAGACCGCTGTCCATTAATGCTTTGTGACCTCTGAGAGACTGACTAGGATTTACCCTACATGGACAGCTTGTGGGTCCTGAGGCTTGCCTCTGTGTACCCTGTATTAATAGGGAGCAGTGGGGTATCCACTGCTCTGCAGCTGTGAAAGGGAGTTTGATGCTGGATATTTTGCATCCACAGTCATGTTATTGCAGTGGCATGTCTTCACCAGCCTTGTGGATTCTAAAGCAACAGGTGCGCATGTGTGTGAATTTTATTGTCTAGTGTTTGAAACTGTATAATGTATGTTTTCATAGGTTGCTTCTCCTATATTTAGAGTACTTATTTGTAGTGATGAACGGCTGGCTGCGTTCTGCCACCCGGCTGCCCGCACTGCTAGCTTTATACCCGAAATAATTACACGGAAATTGTATTCTTTTAAACACTGCCTGGCCCATTAGTTCCAGCCTTTTATTGGCTAGCTCTTACATATTGATCTAACCCATTTCTAATAATCTGTGTAACACCACAAGGTGGCTTACCAGGAAAGATCTTAACCTGCGTCTGTCTGGAGTGGGAGAATCATGGTGACTGACTGACTCGGCTTTCTTTCTCCAAGAATTCTGTTCAGTCTACTCCGCCTACCTAATTTTCTGTCCTATTAAAGGGCCAAGGCAGTTTCTTTATTTAACCAATGAAAACAACTCAAAACAGAAGACTCTTCCCCCATCACTTATTGGTGTAATCACGGTGCTGGTGTCAATAACTCGGTTTATATTTTAAATAGACCTCAGTTGGAGTGGTAAATTCTCTCATCTAGAGTCTGAGTCAGGATGAGGGCTCTAATCTTTGCAGAATGCAGCAAATCTGCATGGGCATTTCATACCCAGAGCTACTTGGGGTTTTATGATTTATAAACTGTTGATGGAGGAAATAACAGTCATTGTTTGTTCTGGAGATCCAGATGAAAAAGTGAGAATGTGATGGTAGTGAAGAGAATTCTGAAGCCTGACAGCTTTAATAAATACGTCCTGGTTGCTTAAGAGGTGGGTTCTAGCCCATCTCCTGCCAGGAGTGAGCACTATCATTTGGTTGAAGGTAATCTGCTAGGGGAGCTTGCATTTGCAAACTCAGGAGAATTGCCATAAAAATTTAATTCAGCCCCATTTTACTCATATATTGTTTATCCGCATTATCTGCCACATTGATTATTTGAATTCCAGAAATGGAGTCTGGTTAAAAACCTTTATGTTTCTGGTTCTAATCATGAATTTGAAGGTTCCTGGTGACCTTCCTCCCATTAGAGTTTTAGAAGTTTGCTCATGTTATTCAGGTTAGGCTGATACAGTTTCTTGGCTTTCTTGGCTTTCCTGTCAAACCCCAAATCCCACCCTGGTATGTGTAAGGCCACACAGAGCTCAGGATGTGCTGCTGTCCTCTAAAAGAAATGCCATTTTCGCAGGTCTGCAGGCATAAGGGAAGTCTAGCAGGGCAAGGGGGAAATTGTATCTTGCTTTCTTCCTTGGACTTTATCTAGGACAGTAGTTCTCAACCTATTCATGGGTCAGAACCCCTTTTACGGGGCATCAAGCAACCCTACCATGGGAGTTGCCTAAGATTATTGGAAAACACAGATATTTATATTATGATTCACAATAGTAGCAAAATTAGTTATGAAGTAGCAACATTTTTATGCTTGGGGGTCACCACAATGTGAGAAACTTTATTAAAGGGTCACTACTGCTCTAGGAAATCCTTGAATCTTAACAAACGTGCAGCCTTTTGTAGGGCTTATAATCTTTATGTGGTTGGATTTCTTTCTGTGAACTAGTTTGTATTTATGTAGAGTTTAGAAATTTAAGAGTGGGACAAGCCCATGGAGATTTTACATTGTTTATTTGTAATGGGAATTAAAAAAAAAAAAAAAACAAGTCTTTTGTACAGCCCTTATGCCCTGGATGTCGGTTCTGAGCTATTGTGCTTCTCCAGCAGAAAGAACAAGTAAACATGAGTATTCTAATGCTGCTTTTACCTAGACTTCATTTTCTTTGTTCATAGAGAAGTCATCCAAAGTGTCTGAAAAGTAGGTGTGGAAGAAGTAGGTGTGCGATTGTTCACTAGCAAAGTGCACAGGTCCAGAGGATAGCAGAGCACCTCTGAATGTTCTCAGCTAGCAGAGTCTTTCTGAAAACAAAATCTTCCTGGTTTCTCAACAGGCATCTCTTCCTAGTTTCCACATGGTATCACTAACTTCACATGCTCCGTGATCAAACCTAGGGCTGTGTCCTAACCACCCCTCAGTAGCTCCCTTTTCTCACATTCTCTTCTTTATTACTTAAAATGCACAGTGTCCAATCCACTTACCAAAAGAGAACCACATATGTAATGTAATGTATACACATGTACTGTAGTTTATATGTTGACTGAGTTTTCTGTCCTCCCGGATCCCGCAGTTGTTAAGTCCCAAAGAAACCACACAGAGGTCTACATTAACTATAAACTGGTTGGCTCATTAGCTCAGGCTTCTTATTAACTCTTAATTATTCTTGTCTATGATAGTCACATGGCTTGGTACCTTTTTCTGTAAGGCAGTTACATCTTGCTTGCTCTGTGGCAGGGTCAGGACTGCAGACCAAGCTTTCCTCTTCCCAGAATACTGTTCTCATTTTCCGCCTCTACTTCCTGTCTGGTTGTCCCACCTATACTACCTGTCTAGCTACTGACCAATCAGTGTTTTATTAAAATACAATTGACAGGATACAACCATTGCCCCACAGCAAGTTTTGGTTTTTGCTGGGGTCATGCAGCTTCAGCATTAATAGTGTTAGGTGCATGAGGAAGTAAGGAGATTTGCATTTTTTCATTGGATGATTAGCTTGATTTGTGAAGAAGGAATGTATTGCTACTGTACATTGTAGTACTTAATCACATAATACTTGTTAGGAACTTGACATTTCTCCCCCGTCCCCCCAAACAAACAAACAAACAAGCAAGCAAACAAACAAACAAACACCAACCTTACTGTGTCTCCCTGGATGGCTAGGTTCCTGCTATGGTAGGTCCGGGTGACCTCAAACTCATGGAGATACACCTAACTCTGTTTCCCAATAGTATTAAAAGTGTGTCCTGTTGGAATACTTCTTTTATTGTAAAATTTGTATGCTTTATTTTTGGTGACCCTCCTCTTTACATTTCCACAGGATGACAGCGATGGGATCCCGTGGTCAGAAGAGAGAGTGGTCCGGAAAGTCCTGTATTTGTCTCTGAAGGAATTTAAGAATGCACAGAAAAGGCAGCATGGGGAAGGCATTGCTGGGAGCCTGAAAACAGTGAATGGTGAGTGCACAGTAGAAACCGAGCATGGTCTCTCTCTTGCCTTCTTTGTCAGATAAGCAGTTGTGGCCATATGAATATGTATTGTGGACCTTGTATTGTTCCTTTATGTACTACACAATGGAATTGGGAAGGTGCCTTGGTCTGTTGTGGAGATCATGAACTGAATGTGAAGCCTATATTGCATTTACCTCCCGTCCCCTCCCTCCTTTCCCTTCCCTTCCCTTTCTCTCCCTTTCCTTCCCTTTCTCTCCCTTCCCTTCCTTTCCCTTCCCCTCCCTTCCTTCCATGGCTTTCTACACAGTATGTGTACAGAACCCTTTAATGAACTTGTTGAAATGTGGAGCCCTGTGTTCTGCATATAAGAAATATCCTAAAAACCTCTACTCCTTGTGATGTGCCATTAGTCTTGTGAGCCCCCTGCTGGCGCCCTTGTTGACTAGGCCTTGACAGTTGTGCTACAAGGCACTGTGTGTACAATGATTAGCATCTCTAGTCTCAAAACAAACCTCTTCCTGTGTTTAACTAATAGATATGAAAATCTGGAGAGAACTGGCTCCCGTGTTTATTACTTTCTCTGTCATTCAGTAGGATTTTTTTTTTTTAAGAAATAACGTTAAAACTTCAAAACATTTCATTGTCTATTGTAGCAGTGGCATATTACGTAGCCTACTGTATGTATGTTATACTTTGTATGAGGTCAAGAGCAAAGAAAGGGCCACGGGAAGAGATCCTGTTTTTGTCTCAAAGGTTTAGCTTTGGACACAAGGGGAATCAGCACATGCAGTATACCAGGTGCCAAGTGATAAATAGTTCATATGTGGCTTCCAATTTTCATCTCCTCTGCCTCCCTACAGCCCCTCATTTCCCTTGTTTTTATATGATGATTATATTTGTGTAAATACGGAAGTCAGAGAACAATCTTGGATGTTGGTCCTTGCCTTTCACATGTTCGAGATGAGTCTTCTTTGCCTTAATTGTAAACGGAGTCCTCTATGGTTTCTTATTGGACCTATTACTTACAGAGTAGATCTGTTTGTTGACTTGCTTTCATAGGGTCATGGCAGGGTTTTTTAAGACCACCTCTGTGAACTCCATTGTATGCCTAACTTGTTTTGCTGTTTGAAGCTGGTGATCTAATCCTTGTTAGGGTGACTTGAAGGAAGACACAAATCCTACCTGGTTTGCTGTCTTACATATGCATTTTCTTACCCCAAAATAACTATACAATTTTTTAAAATTTTATTTTTTATGTATGGTTGTTTTGCCTGCCCATGTTTTATATATATATATATATACACACACACACACACACACACACATACACATATACCATGGGTGTGCCAAGTGCCTGAGGAGGCTACAGCAGGCAGTACTTCCCTGGAACTGGAGCTAGAGATGATTGTAGGAATTCTAGGAATTGAATCCTGGTCCTCCAGAGGAGCCATAATAAGCATTATTTACCCCTGAGCCATCACTTGGGCCTCAACTCTGCCAGTTTTGTTCTACATAATATTCTCCTGATTTCCTTAATGCTCATTTGAGCCAACATATATTTGAACTGCTCATTTGCAGAAATTACATAAGCTGTAGAAACCATTTTCTATTCTTTACTTGTAGTGCAGTAAACTCTAATCCTTCTGAACACTTGGCATGGTGCATTACTCTAACAGTGTAACATAGTATTTTGCCTGGTTCAGTTTGTGAGTGTTTGGGCATGGAGTGTTGATGAAGATAGCTTTGATTCCAGAGCAAGAGTAGAGGAGCAGCAGCTACTGGTTGCGGTTGTTTTATTTTGGTGAATAGGGATGTTATCTTATGCAGGAGTTAGCAGGCAGTCCCATAGGGCTATTATTTGTTCATCGTCAGAAGTTCACTGTAATATGGAAATATTAGGTGTTATGAAAAAGAAGTTAGAAGGTTCCCCAGGAATTAGTAATGATATTATTTGGATAATGACAAAAAACTAAAGATAATCCTGTATCTCCACCCAGTACTTGCAGCCATCAGGCTACATTTAGCTTAGACTTTGTGAAAATTAGTGTGAAAATACTGAGATATTGTAATGACAGTTACAAAAGGCATTTCTGTTATATGACTGACGACTTCCATATGCATAGTAAAAAAAAAAAGTTTTTGTCAGGGCACTTTGCTTTTACCCTTACATAGACCCCAGACTTGTGATCCTCATACCTCTGACTGACAAGTGCTGGGTTAATAGTTAGGTACCACCATGTCAGGTCTGTCTTACCTGTTCACCCATCTGGTCTGTTCTGTCTGCCTGTCTGTATTTCTATTATCTAGTACGGTGGAATTCAGAGGACAATTTTTGGGAATCAGTCAGTTGTCATCTTCTGCCTTGTTGAGGCAGGGTCTTCTGTGTGTGTTGCTGCTGGGCCACATACTTCAGGCTAGATATTCTGGCCCGTTTCTGTCTCTGCCACCTATCTTGCTTATAGGATTGATAGAGTTGTATATGCCTGCTACCTCCTGTGGGTTCTGGGGATCAAATCTGGTCTGGGTTTGTCCAGCTAGTGTTCTTAGTTGTAGAGCCTTCCCGTGACTCAGCCAACTTCCTGAGTTGTTGTAAAGATAGTGTTGCAAAGATGTCCCTGTGGATATGCCACTATCTCATTTCTTATTTATTCTATCAGGTTGCATGTAGAGGCCTCAAAATGTGAGCCTATTCCACCTTGTCTGAGGGTTTGAGGTTGTTCAGCTGTGTCAGCACCCTGACCTAGGGTGTGGTTACATAGTGTTGGGTCTGACCAAGGATCAGAGAATTCAAGCATACTTTTGCTTCTTCTTTTGAACTAGGGAGTAGCTGCCTTCAGGATAAGTGGTCTAGGTGGGTTCACTGCTTTAACAACAGAATGCTTTTCTTATGAATTAATGGCTTGATGTCTCAACGTATTAAAACTAGTAACTGTTCTAGTTATCCTTTGTATCATGTTAAAGCATTCTTTTGCCTTCTTCCCCTTTTTGTATTGGGGGTATAATAGTACATGTAAAATTAAACATCCATGAACTCAGAACATTCAGTATTTGCTGAGTTGCCCTTGAGGTACCATCCTATGTCCGTGTATTTCTTTCTTGTCTCTGTTTCTCCTACCTAACATTTATAATTTTCAGGTCCTTACTCTGGAAAATATGAATCCACCGTGGCTAGGATCATAGCAGTAGTCACCACAAAAGGCTGCCCATGACATAAGGCAGTGCAGCGTGAAATGGCCTGTGACACTTGCATCAGGGCTTTTGCCTCCTCCTCCTCCTCCTCCTCCTCCTCCTCCTCCTCCTCCTCCTCCTCCTCCTCCTCCTCCTCTTCCTTTTCTTCTTGCTTTTGGTGCTAGGCATTAAACCCGTAGCCTCACACTCGTTAGGAGATATTCTGTCACAGAGTGGTATCCCTAACCCTTTTCTATGCTTCTTATTTTGTTACAGGGTCTTTCTAAATCCTTGAACTTCCTGGGTCTACAGAACGAGGAACCTATCTCAGCAGCACCCCACCCCTTAAACAAAAAGAATCTTCTTTTTTTTTTTTTTTTTTTCCAGGAGAATTTTGAAGCTAGCTAGCTAGCAAAGATTGGCAATTTTATAGGGACGAGCCAGAAAGCAGAATTCCCACAATGGGAATAACTCTTTGAGAGGGTGCGCCTTCCTCAACTTAACAGGAATACAACACCACATATGGAGGAGGATTCAAGACACTGGAATTTTATGTTGAGAACACAGTGACTTCTCATTGCATGTTGTCTGTGCTTTCTCTGTGGCTCCCTTATGTTTGCCTAGTGCTCCAAAAGGAGCACCGGAAAGGCTTTATTTTAGTTCACAGTGCCTCTTATGATGGGGAGGCATGTCAGCAAGAACATGAAGCAGCTGGTCACATTGCATCCACATTGTTGATGCTGGAGTCTCCTCTGTGTGCTGTGATTACCATTAATGAATAAAGAAACTACTTTGGACCTATAGCAAGGCAGAACATAGATAGGCAGGGAAAGCTAGGCTGAATGAGGAAGAAAGGCAGGATCAGAGGGAAGCCATGGAGGTGCCGCCAGAGAAAGATGCCAGTACTGGTCAGCCACAGCCACATGGCGATACACAGATTAATAGAAATGGGTTAAACTTATATGTAAGAGTTAACCAATAAGAAGCTAGAGCTAATGGACCAAACAGTGATTTAATTAGTACATATTCTGTGTGATTATTTCGGGGCTAAGCAGTTGGGAACCAACAAGCAGCCCCCTCTCATTACACAATGTTAAAAGAATTATAGCCAGGCTATGGAACCTCAGTGTCCTCCTCCAGAGAAGCCCATCCTCTTCCTTCCACAACCTTTCAAAACAGCACCATTACCAGTTGAGAACCTATGTTCAGAAAGCCTATGGGGGGCCATAGCACATCTAAGCCAAAACACTTGTCATAGTAGGCTGTTGCTCACAGCCTACCTATAGAAACACTTCCTCGCTTAGGTCCTGTGAGGTCATGGAATAGGTTAATGGGGGTGTGGTGATGTAGCAAGGAATCGACGGTTGTAATTGGTGGACAGCGGAGAGATTCCTGTGTCAGTGGACTAAAGCTTGGTTCCATTTCACAGCTGCTCATACCTCCAGCTCTAGGACTCCCACTCCCTCTTCTTACTTTTGTAGGCACCTGCTCACGTGTATAGATATGTACACTCATTTGGTTTTTTGTTTTGCTTTTTATTATTATGAAAATGTATATGGTGGCCATAAATTTTAAGATTGCCCATTATAGAGGGCCCTTTACCAGGAGCTGACATCATATGTCCAGAGGTAGGCCTCTCTTCCCCTATACTCTTTTTTTTTAACTGAAAAAAATATTTTGGTCATTTTTTTTTCTCCCTTTTTCAGTTTCAGATTCTCCCTACCTACCCACTTCCAACTTTGTTCTTTCACTCTCCCTGTGTTTTCAAACAAACAAATACCCCCCCGCAAGTTAAAAAAGGCAATAAGAAAAAAAGGCTTGAAATGACAAAATATCTC